TCTGTGTAATTTTAAGAAACCTTCTAAAAAATGTTTTAATAAAAATTATACTGCCCCTTTGGAATAAAAACAAATTTTCTGAAGTACTTTTTGATGTTAAATATTGAAATAATATGAAAGTAGAAACTTATGAGAGTAAAATAAGGCTGAAAATTTAAAATTTTCTTAAAGGAAATTCAAAAAGACTCACTACTATATTCCTATCATTCATATTTTTAAATATAAAAATGTAGATGTCGCTATAACATCAAAAGATTCAAGTGGAAATAGAAATCATCGAAAGTATTCATTGCAATTTTTTTTTAAATAATTTTTTACAAACTTTGTTTTTTTTTTTCAATAATATTTATGTGTTATGGATGTGAATTTTTCATTTCAAATTTCCTCTTCTTTTATTAAATTTTATTACTATCGTTTATAACAAAACTGTTATTATTGTTCTTAATTTACAATATATGAGGCATTCGAAATCAAAGTACATTTAGAAAATTGGCAGAGATTTTGTTCTTTCATTACATTAGTTTGAATTTCAATACTGTTCTAAATTTGGTACCCAACATCGCTTGGGGTGGTTAGAGTCGTTTCAACTATTATGTAATTTATTTATCACAGGGAAGTAAAGACTTAAATTAAATCAACAAAACAATTTTTTCCTTAATTAAATATTAAAGGGAGCTGTAGCTGCTCTATATATTATTTTTTTACATTTACATTTTGAATTCCGATTCCATAAACATTTTCTTAAACTAAATAGCTAATAGGATATGTGATGTACTTGCATGAACATTTACTAACTAACAATTAATTCCTCGCGTTTTCAGCGTTTTGAATGTTCTCTTCTTTTCCTTAATAGATTGAAGAAAATATTTTATTATAATACTATATGTAATGAATGTTATATTTCTTCCTGTCTCTTAAAGAATGGAAACGGAACACATAAGTTTTAAATTTTACTATAAGGAATAAAATACAAAATACTGTTATACATATGGTATATAAAACCCTGTTGTGATATCCATATACCAATAAATTTAAAGAATTACTATTATATTATTGCGCGACTATTTCTTTAAAGCATTGAACACATTAAAAATAAAATAAAAATAAAATATGTTTTTGCTTTATTTTACCAAGATTAATAGAATTTTTTGATCGTAACATACTATTATTGACTATACGTGTAGAAAATTTTATCCTCAAACAATATTGTAATATATTATTAATGTTTATGAACGTACATTATGTACTCGTATGATTGTATATAAATTTTTAATTGTATACATTAATAGTAATAGGAATTTTTTTATCTACTCCATTAAGTTAAGAACGCAGATGGAACAAAAAAAATTTTTTTTAAAAAAGTACTTGTGAATTGAACAGAAATTGAATAAAGAGTTAAAAAAATTGAAGTATTCCATTATAGGTTTTTGTAGAGCAATGAAAAACAATAGAATCAAGAAGCTATGAGAAAATTCTTTAATGTTAATTTTACTGGTTACCTTACGCATTTATCATAAATAATTGTAACTCTTTTCATAAATCCGAAATAATGTATTTAATTTTGTAGGATTTTGTAAAATGAAAATTTATAGCAATTTTCAGACACGTTGTAAAGTGATTATTTTAGTTTTTTTTATATTTGTATAACCAATTATTTGTATTAAAGTCGAAAGTTCAAACTATTTAAAGTAATATTTGAAAATTACTATTATAAATTATTATTACTTTACATTAAAACCTAAGACAAACGGTTAGCACTATAATCGGATTGAGATCAAGAAGTAATATTACAACTAGCAAGTAAGTGAAATTATACAGAAATTTTTGAGGAAACTTATATTAATTAGAAATAATGATAATTATTTTGTAAAATTCTGTACTACGTTTTCCAGAATAAATATTTAACAAAATTATTATTTTCTTCCATTTATGGCTTGGTAATTCCAATATTTCACCAGAATGTTTGTCATGTAAAGATAATCTGAATAGAAAATTAATTACTAAAAAATCCTCAAAAGTAAAGCAAAATTTATACGAGTATCATATTATTTTCGAAAGACGGTTCGTAATATCTTTGACGTGATTTCAATTAAAATTTTTTTGCTATAAATTTAATTCACATCCAAAAAATTTTCATTAATTCAAAAATTATTTTATGTGACTTGTTACCAACAAAATAATAGGATTCTCTAACAAATTCCATTCATAGTTTTCATTCTTAACAGACACTTTTGAAAAATTTTTATGAAGTTTTCAACTTAAATAATATTCCGGCACTATTTTAAAACATATGTTACTAATGAAGTTATGACACTATTTTGGCCAATGAAGTACAATTTAAAATTTGAACAATTAAACACAGTAACATCAATTAAAAAGCACCAATATGGAAAATTTTTAAAATTAAATTTTCTATAATATGGAAAACGCACATTTTCTATAATATGGAAAAATACAAAATTCATCATAAAATCATGATATAACAAACTTTCATCTCGCGTAAAATTTTGATTTTAGCAACAATGCATAAAAACATGCGCTGTCACATCGACATACGAGTATTAATACTTTTTCAATTTTATGAATGAAATTTTTAAAATTCTTATGCATATCTCCAAATAACTTTGTCAACACAAAAATTCTGAATCTGCAACCTCGGTGTGTCGAGTAAACAAACGTTAACTTAACGACTGAAAAAAAATCTCCATCATCTTTTTTCAACTAACTGTTTTGTAAAGATTTATAGCTTTAATTAAAGTTTAAATCAAAATGTTTTTTTTTTTACTACATGCGTTTATATGTGCACTTTCTATCATAACCATTATGTCCTGGAGGCTTTAGCAAAAATTATTATCGAATTACCAACGTAAAATAAAAATAAAAAATTAATAATTTTTATTATCATTTTTATTAAAAATGTCCTCTTTTTAGAGAAATTTTTTGTTTTATATAGAAAAAGAAACAATCTTTAGACCATCATAATTTACAATATAATTTTGGATTTGCATATCAAAAATGGTAAAAAAAAATACACAGTGTGTTTGTCTTATATGTAAATATTAAATTTAAATCTTGTTAAAATATTTTTATAAATATAGTTACTAGTATGCAGCGTGCAATAATGATTAAAAATTTTAATAAAGTTGCTATGCAAACGTTTCCATCGTTGATGGCCTCTGCATGTACACGAGAAATTCTTTGAAAGACAAAATGTCTATACTTTAATGATTGTATGTTTTTATACTGTTATTTTTATATTGTTTACCATCACTATATTCTTATATAATTGTTACTGTACATATTATTACTATCATTGATTTATAAGTATAATAACAGAAATGTACATAATACACAATTTTTAATTGTAAAACACTTATAAGCCTACTAAATTTAATAAAGGAAAACAAAAAAGTATAAAATACGAATATCAGCTTACACCTGTATAGCTGCTTCTTTACACATAATTTTTCTTATTAATTTTATTAATATTCATGAATAATTGTATAAGGTGTTCAAATAATTAAGTCATTTTATATTAGATCAAATTATAATGTCATGGAATTTTATATTCAAAATCGAAGTTATATGGAAAACAAATTAAAAATAAACCTCGGCACTTTTTATATGTATGATTGTGATAATTTTGAAGCACAAATATTTCCGAAATCAGAAATAATATTAAATATTTTACAAAATACCGTTTATGCAAATAGCTTCTGAATTTCGAACAGACGTCGCACTATTCAATTTAATTATTATTCTAGATTTGATTCATTGGTGCATAATCAAAAGAAATTCATCAAAATGTAGTGGTTCTCAATGAATTTCCGACTTTTTTTTAGTTAGAAAACTGTATAACACAAACAGAAACTAAATTTTGGAACTTCTAATATTAATTTATATTAATATGAAAGTCCCATGATTGTAATATGGTATACAAGTTACCGTTTTCAAAAGAACACTGTATATGAAACTAGTTAAACGATTTTATAAGTACATGTGTGTAGATGCCTTCATAGATTTTGTTTTTTAATTCATAGACATACGGTAGGCGTCAATCAATGACATCCTACTTAATTTATTTTTAATTTTCGTTGTTTGCTTCTTATGTTTTTTTTTTTATTATTTTTTCCATCATTCTTGCTAATAATATTAATGCCATTTTTTTGTATTTTGTTCTTCTTATTTCGTTTTTATTTTTTTTTCTTTTAATATGATTTATACACGACATATATGGTTTAATAATAATTCTGACTTATAATTTTTTAAATAAGTATGTTTGTATATGCATAGATTTTGCGAGAAAAAAACATTTGTAAAATTTTCAAAGAATATTCCTAGGTAATGTTTTTCTCTATGTTAATTATTATTTTTATGTTTTATACTACATAAACTGATTACTTGTTAGCCATTTAGATATATCTCTAGGGCTGTTAAGGTTATAGGAAGAAGATAAAATTGTGTTAAATGGAATATTGTTTAGGAACTAAATTTTATAAAGTAATGAGAAGAGAAATAAGAATCTTAAATTTGTTTTTGTTTGAAAAAATTTATTCTCAAACTGTTTATGGTTAATAAAATTCTAACGTTTCGGTTAATGTCACACCGGATCAATCTAGCGGCGTATGTACTTTAATATCTGAATTATAGTTTTGCCCGAAAAAATGTGATAAAAATTACAAATTCAAAGAAATTTTCAATTACATTCTTACAAAATTTGACGAGATCTCGATAAATGTAATAATTCGACAATCCTGTTTATAATAAATTGATGCTATTTATTTTTATATAATTTTATTTTGTATAAAGCACTGTTACTCTTGATTATATCAAAAATTCTATTTCACGAAGTATTCCACGTGGAAAAATATGTCAACTTTTCCTATCTAGGAACGGATAAAGTTCGCAAAAAAAAAGTCAATATTTCTGCATATTTATGATAAAAATGTGCGGTTTCAAAATTATTAAAAAAAGAAAAATTAAAATAATACTGAACTTACCTTATCGCAAAAAACTTTAATTTGGCAATAACCTCTATGGAAGACTTGTGCATCTCTTGGATCCTCAAATGTATCAATTTGTATATGAAGTGGAAGACCCTAAAATAAATAGTAAAAAAAAATTATAGTTTACATTATTACAAATTGAATTCAAAATTCTAAATTAAAAAAGAAAATTTTAACACTGGATATTTGTCGTTTTCCGTATTAAAAATTTTTTTCGAGCGAAATTTAAAATAACACTGAAAATCAATAAAACGGCTTCCAGGAATTTCCCAAATTTAACTATCTACTAATCAATTATTACCTTTTGATAGGGTTTGAATTTTAAAATATGAGTCAACGAATGGAAAGTGATAGATTTTTTCCTTGGAATGCAAATCAGTGCTGTTTAATATTTTTTTAAATTGCATTTAAATTTCAAAAACAAATTAAAAATTTTTCACTAATTTTTTTTCTATTTTTGAAAAAAAGAAAGTTTTTAATAATCACACACTATTTTGAGTTTTTTTTCTGTTTTGTTTATTTGGTCGCTAAGCTATTAAGCTCTTTAATTTATATTTTCATATTAAATCAAATTACATATTTGTACATAAATAAATATTTATGAAATTTTATTATAAACAAATAATTTGTTTATAGCCTTAATAAGAAAAGCAATGACTTCAGCAATTCATTACTAATAATATCAACAAATAACATTGATTACGCTGTTTGATATAATATGTGTACACACAAATACATAAATAATAATCTAATATAAATATACTTATATTATTATTAATAATTATGACGCGACATTGCTCTTAATAACTATCATTTCTTTTTTTTTTAACTATTTTTGTTTATCTTGAATTTCTACTCCATTTTCAAAAATTGCCATTTAAATTTGATTTAAAAAATATTACCAATATTAATTATTATTATGATGATATTATATATGATTTTATAATTTAAATGAAATCGTTTACGAAAATGTTAAAATAAAAATAAAGTGGGTACCATAAATACAGTGTATTATTTAAAATCTTGTTAAATAAAAATTTTATATGAACAATTTAAATCATACACTGAAAGAAAAACACATGTATTTTTTCATAAAATTTTATAATTTTCAAAATTTTTAAAATTTTTATAAAAATATAAGTGTAAGGAATTGTTATGAATTATTGTAATTATGACGGATTTGTCCGTCTTTGGATACATCTAAATAATTTTGCATAGTGAGATTGATTGGTTTCAACAGGAAAATTAATGAAGAACACTTCCTTAATTATTAATTATTCAAATATTCCTTATTTTGTCTTTACAATTTTTTCTAATATAATGGAATCTCCTAATATTCGAAATTTTAATTCAAATTATATCGGAAAATAGTCCATTTCATAAATGTCTTAATTCACTATGTAAATAAGTGTTAAAATTTTATTTTGGTTTGGCACTTTTAAATAACATCACTATATGCCTATATGCATAGGAATATAAGCATGTGAATAAAAATAATATTGAACAGCATTTAGTTTTCATGTACATGCAACATAAATACAATATATATTAAGAAATATAATTTAAATAAGAGCAAAGTAAAAAAAAAATTTTTTTGCAACAATTTTCTCTCCATATTGTTGCGTGGATTTCATAATGCAATTCAAAAGCAACAAAGAGAATAAAAAAAATAAAAAGAGAACAAAAAATATTGGCTAGTTGTGAAAATTATAATAATACAAAATAATAAGAAATAATATGAAATTCATAGCTGGACTAAAGTGTAATGTCTCCTGAGCACGCTACTAAAAATGCATATTTTATTGAAATTTGTTACACTTCATAAGTGTGTACACTTCATATGTGCATATATATATAGAAATATACGTACTTATTAATATGATTACTTTTAAAATACAATTTAAAAAAGATTTTTCCTACACTTAATACCTTTTTTTCTCTTGTTTTTCTTTATTTTTAATGCGTTTTGCCAGTAAATTATTAACTTTTGCGTTCATATCTGCGTCATATCTACACCATTTTCAATTTCTTTTTTCGCGTTTATTATTATTTTGATTATTGGCGGTTCATCTGTTATACCATACATATTTTCTGTTTTTTTAAGCGTTGTTTCATTTTTTTTTATGATACATGTAAAACACTATCGCGATATTTCTGTCAATTTTGAACCAATAAATTATTTATATTATGTATGCATATAAAATATGTTGATGAATATTCCTTCAATTTGAAAAATAAAATGAATGAAGAAGAATATTAAATGTGCATAGGTGCAATATAAATTATAATATAAAATGTAAGGACATATGTATATGTACATACAAAAATGTTTAGGAATTATAGGGTGCCTACACATCACAAATATACTGAATTGTTTCAATGTAAAATTGTTAATTTTAAATTGAAATTTTGTAAAAATTTGAAAAGAAGTAAAAAAAATTATTGAACATAAATTTTCCATATTAAAAAACATATAAGTTTCCCGCTTAAGTCTTTAGTTTTTTCATATATTTCAAAAAAAATTTTGACTGAGAAACTACTAAAACTACTTAGTACAAAAATTGTTTAAAATAAAAATTTTTGAAATCATCATTAAATTTGAAATTATAATTAAGCAATAATAATAATGTTTTCAGAAAAATTTACAATAATTTTGAAGGTAATAGTTTTCGTTCGTATCAATGAAGAAACTATTGACATTATTGAAAAAAAAATATTGCCCTTAATTTTATAATGTGTGTTTTTTTTTTCCCTTTACGATAATTAGTTACTAATAAAACATCAATAGAAATTTATCTAGTATGACAAAACACCCTATAAACAATATTATTTTTAAATATAAACATAATACTTCTGCAAGAAAAAAAAATTCAACATTGGTAACAAGATGGCATACAAAAAAAAAATTATTACATGCCAATTTTATCAAGGAGTTAATCTTTCTTGCCACGTCTAATGTTGTCTATATCAAGTGCATAGGTGTTCATTTGTAAGGCGTTATTTTGAAAGTTTCCTTTTTCTTAATATGTAAAATTTTCATTTTAAAGTTGTTATTAGTTTTGCATTTTCTTTTTTAATTTTTCTTTTTTAATATTTTTTTTGTATATATAACATTGTCTATAAATTTTTTTTTCATCATAATTTTCTATTTGTACGATACATGATAATAATTATACCTATATGCTTAAAGATTTTAAAAAAAATATTTTTTTATGAATATAGATTGACCAGCTCTTCATAATAGTGAACGAAATAAGAAAATTCCATTCATGAATATTGTTATTTACTGCATAGATTATGAATTTTAAAATTTTGAATTAATAGAATAAAAAAAAATAATATGCTGATGATACGATTTTTTTAAATATTTTCAAATTATAGATGTAAAAATAGAAATATTGTTACGGACAAGTTCAAGAAATTTTAGAAGATATTTTCAATAATGTGAGTGTTTAAGTATTGTGATATAGTTAGTCACTTATATTAAATATAAAATGTATAAATAGTAACATATTTTCTAAAAATATCCAATAATTAGAATTTAGAACAACCTGTACTTTTTTAATGCAGAAGTTCCCAGAATATTCAAATAAATTATTCCTAAACTCAGTACATCAATAACCTTAATTTCGATAGCTTGAAATACACTGGAGGTTTTCGTTATATGATCTTAACAATATTAATTAAAACACTTAATATAGTTACAAAAATAAGACGACTGATGATAATAATTTAAAAATATGATTGGAAAACGATTTCAATGCATTTTATTTTAGCGATGCAATTAATTTTTCAATGTTTTCTCAATATATGCATTTTTTTTTTCTATTTTTGTTTTTCCTCCATTTAAATTCAAAATATGATATCAAATCTCTAGTATAATAACACGTTCAATATATTAATTAAGAAAAGCTGTAATTTTTCGCATTTTATTTTCTTTCGCTTTATTTTTTGTTTTTCTTAATGGAGAAATCTTATATTCTAATTAATAAAATATAAATATATATATAAGTATTAATTTTTCTGGAGCACCTTTCCTCTATTTTATATGTTTTTATTGTCGCATTCACCATATTTATTTTACGCATATTTTCATTAAAATGAAATCTTTTAAGATTATAAATTTGCATTCAAAACTGTAAAATATACGCGATCACCATCGGTATATATATATATATTCACATACGCACCATATTTACGTTAATATATAAAATGGAAGAAATGCGAGCGTTTCTATTGCATTTGAATTATGAGTTCGATTTTCTGACAGCCGGTAATTCGATTTATATATTAGTAAATTTTACACAAAATATATGTACGATATATAAGTATATTGTTATATATGAATGTGTATAAGGAATTGAAAATAAAATAATCATGTGTTTATTTATATGTGAAGATTTTATCTGATTGCGATAGAATTAGATAATATTGCAAATCGCAAAATGATAATATCTAAAGACATTTTGACATTATCTCTGGAGGGAAGATAATATATAACATAAAGTATTAAAAAAAATACATTTTTCTAAAAAATATTTTAAGATATGAGACGATTTATTTATTTCTAAAAATTTATAATAAATAAACTAAAATTTTATAGATCACTAAAAAGAAAAATTAAAACAGTTCAATAAACCCTTGTCCGCTTGTTCTCTTTAGTACAATTAAAAACTTTCGTTCTTTTATTTAAAACAATTATTTAAATATAAATTAGGGGTATTCGAATATCCGAATACAATTTTGCAATAAGTTCGATCTATAAAGATAAAATGGGCAAATAATATAACAAGATGAATTTTTCATTCCCAAATATTATCTAGTTATTGAATTTATTTTAGAATTTCGGTTTAGCACTGCAAATTACTTAATCAATAACGGATCAAAAGATCTCAAATGAAAAGATTTTACTCTTATTGTATTACAGCTTAATTAAATAACATTTTATATGAAAAGCTATGGTTAGGTTTTGAGCTAGTTATAAATTTTCAAATCCCAACAAAAATTTAAAGGAACTTTTAGAAAGCAATGTGAAGAAGAAATTATCGGAAATTTCTTTATACCTCTGTGGCCCAGTTGGTAGAGAGTCTGTC